AAACGTCAGCCTTCCTGCTCCTCTCTTGCTGCTTGGCCTGCTGTGTTCATCCAGCTCTACACCTTGTTATCTCAGATTCTCCAGCATCTACAGTTCCTACTATCTCTAATGAATAATGCCTCTTTATGGTAAATAATAAATCCTAGGATCTTAGTAAATATCAAAGGAGCCTTTCTTACTGACAGACTATGAACTTGCTACCACATGGCTAGCTGAGGCAAATTGCGCAATGCCTTTGAAGAGTACCTTGATATAAATGTGAAGGAGAAAGGGGTGATAAGGGTAAATGTTGATAGCGGTAAATGAAGTTGGATGGGAGGAGGTTTGTGCTGAGCATTAACACTGGCAAGACAAATTGGAAATGAACTGTCCTGTATTCAGTGCAATTGTGTACTTCTTCTGTGACAAACAGTTCCAGAAAAATTCATAAAATTAATGCCCAAACTTTGCTGCATGTGTTGTTTCTGCAAAGCCAAAAATATCAGGGCATTCCTACATAGGAGGCTCAGCATGCATCAAGCTTGTCAAAATATTCTGCTTCCACAAAGGGGTGACTGCCAACTGACACATTCGCAAAACACAAAAATTTAAGGGCCTAGGTTTGGTGCAAAAGTAAAAAGAAACAATTTGTAATTTTTCTGGATAAATGTTAAGTGCCTTTGTTGTGCCCTGTCTGATCAAAATTCAACACTCCGTATTGGTACATTATTGCAATGAAATATTCAATATGTCACAAATAAACTTCACTTTCAGGTCTCTCGGCAGATACAATATAAGCAGCTAGAAAATGATTGGCAATAGGCTACAAACTCATATCATTGTGGCCAAGGCAGTGCTCCCCACAAGTCTGCCACTGGATAGCTTGAACAATCCAAGTGAAGGTGTAGGGCTCATTTAAAGTGTTATTTGACAACCAAAGAAGAATTAGGACTCAACTACATATTGTTCAAAACCAGTCCAAATACACAGTGCAGCATCACCAGTAGCTTAGATTACAATTGGCAGTTTAATTGAGATATATTATGAAACAATACATTACGTTATGATATTTTTGTTAAATATAGAAAAATAGACATGCTTTACCTTGCTGTAAAGGGGTAAAGTAATATTTAGGTTGCAGATTGCATGTTGGACAAGACCTCTAGTCGATTTTGGCTCTTTAATGAAAGATAATCGTCCGCAAGGTTCTTGAGTCGTATCTCTTACCTGTTGAGACATTTCAGAATTTGATTGGGTTCATACAACTGATGCTGAAATATATCAGAAACTGTTTGGCAAACTGACAAGCCTGCATACATCCATTTCAGTTCATCCTATTGAAATGGATCAATGTATCCTTTGTTCACAGTTCATCATGCAAAGAAAGGATGCAATTGTTTTCTTTCCAAACTAAAGGGAAATCATTTGTCAAACACCCTTTTCATGAGTCCTGTGTCATGCTAAAATAGAAACATGCAGTTGTAACTGTAATAATACATTCAATACAATGCAGATTTGACAATAGTACACTAGCATTGGACCAATTGCAAGTGCAGTGTTTACTGTTTAAAAACTCTTTTTATTTACATCTAACACAAAAGACTCTATACATGAATGCTCTAATTGGTGAGATATGCACTTCAAGATCATTTGGGCAGCAGGTTCAGATTCCACACTTGCTCAGAGATATGAAAGTTCTAAATTCAAGCTGGATATATAAAAACCACAGGACATAAACCAGTTTGGAAGAAATGTTTATTCATGTCCCTGACCTGTTACAACATTGAAACAACAGCATAAAGTACCACATTGCCCTGAAAGTCCCTCAAACACCTGGCAAAGTCAGTTACAGGAGTGATCAAACAGAGAAAATGTGTCCCATATTTAGAATTGTCAGAGTCTGAGGAGGTAGTCCTTGAATCACAGGCTGTTTCCCTCCCATGCTTGTTGCTTATAAGTTTGAGAACCTAAAACAGTTCCCCCACATCACGTTGCCAATAGTAGTGGGATAGTTACTGACAGCAATGCTGACAAAAATCTGTTCGTACAGGTTATTAAGATTTTTCACCAACTGGAAGATTCAGGGAAATAATGGTTAACATTTGGTCTTTAATGGATACAATACCACCTAAAACAGAATACTAAGAACTGATGAGATTTATTATCAATTCTTTTGCTTCTTATTCTGTCATTAGGAATTCGGTAACAATATCACAACCAGTTGGGTATTTTCCTGCAATATAATTTGTACTCCGACCAGGCTTCCAGAGAGTGAATGGACGCATTATTACTTAATCATATACCTCCCCATCGGGAACTAATACGAATGTACCACACAACTAGAATACCTCCAGCATACCAACAAGACTGAGGGAAGAATTTGATGCAATCCTGTTATTAATTAAACTCAAAATAATTTCCACTATCATTACATGAAAAAAATCAATAATTCACTTTAACCAAATGAAAACGCAGACTGAATTTTAGGGGCCACCTCTGGATGGGCAAACAAATGGATAGACCTGTAAAAAACTGTGCTCTTGGTGACATGCCTGCTCAACGAGCCATAATTTTATGAATGGTGGGGCCTTTCAGGTGGGTCATGTGTGATCCAATTGAGGCTTTTAAGTGATAATTCATCAGGGCTTTTAAGCAAGGGTGTGCGGAGCCTCTGCTAATCTGTGACTCCTCCCCGAAATTTTTCCCCAAATCCACTCTTCATCACTGCCCTTTCCGACATGCTCCACTCAGCGCCCTCCCCAGCTCCTCCTCACCACGATCAGTGCCTTCTGGCACTGTCAATGTGCAACGTTGTTGGCTCTGGTTGGCCTGCAACTCTATTAGTCAGTACATCCTCCTGAAGATGGCTGAAAGTCCCACCTCATACTATTTCAAAGGTCAAAGCATAAACGATTAAAGTGGTGTGTGCCGATTAAGTGGGGGTGGGCTGACCCCATCCCCACTTCACCCATTTGCAATGGGGTGCAACAAGCCCATCCTCAGTGTATAATCCAGTCCATGGAATTCAAAGTTTAATTGCTGTGCAACAAGTAGTTGACAAGCGGGAATCAATATTTTTATGGTGTTGGGGAATTTTTAATTTGCTACCTTCCACAAATATGCACAAACAATTATCAGTCTAGTTAACCAGAATTTTCTCTAAATTTAATTTTTGAATAACATACTAACTTAATTGTTTGGAAAGTGAAGATGATGATATGTTCAATCACTGCCAAATAACTGACAAAATTTTAGAGACTATCAAGTCCCAGGTGTCTTTGCCAGTGACTGCAATGTTAGCGAATGTCAATTGAGTATTTTTCCTTAGGTTACACAAGTGAAAAATAAAACATGTTAAAGATCCAGTTTAAGATAACATCCAAAGACTTGTGCTGCAATTGTTGGATGTTTAGTAAGAAAATTATCCTGTGATTAAAAGTATTTCTGATGTTCAATCTCTGGGCTTGCACATATGAAAGGGCAACTTTGGAAAGATAGTGGGAGGATAAGTAGCTTCTAACAATAATCCAGAAGAATACACAACAGTTCTGAAGCTTGGAGAGATGTTGAGGGGTAGATAAGGAATAAAATAGCTAAGTGTGAAATCCACATATATCTACCATCTACTGGTGCAAATAAGGTGTTTTACCATACCTTGACAAACAGCGCAAGTCTATTTTCTTTGAAAGCATAGAAACTGAAAAGATGATGTTGTCCACTCTTTGTGAGAGGCACAAGATTGCCAAAACAGTCAGCATAAATTGGCTTGCCCTCCAGTACCTACAAAAAGACAGATTCAGACAGAAATATTAATGCCTCCATTAGTATATGATTTTTTTCTGATCCATCCAGTCTCTATGGTTTAATTACTGTTAGGAAGGAAAAGGAAGAGGGGAGGGAGTTAGGAAGAAAGGAGGAGGATGAAAGAGGAGGATGGTGCCAGAAATGAATCTGAAATATTAAGTGTTAATTTAAATTCAACAAGAGCTTTGTATGAATTTAGGAAAATAGTGTATTTTCGCTTGGAGCCAGAGTGAGTCTTCATTTGAACATATTGTAATTTAAACTATATTTTAAACAAATGCGATTTGTATTATAGTCAGAGCAAATATAAAATTGAATCAAAGAACTAATTAAACAAACAAAAATTTAAGCATTACAGAAAATAGATTTTTTCCTAAGATTTTCATCTTGCATTCATCAAGAAAATTCACAACACACCGATGTCAAGGGAAAACAACATTTATACCGTATGAGAGGACAGTACTGATTAACTGGTGAATGGATCTTGATTGGTACAGACATTGCCATGGGGAATGCATTAGTCAGACGATGACAGACAGTGAACTGCCAAGCTTTGTTTCTGTTTTCAACCACATAGGTTGACTCTAATTGATTAAGGCATTGCCTTGAGAAATTAACCAGAGAATGGTTGGCACCTATTTTGTTCAGTTGAAATCAGTGCAGTAATTTCTTGAAAAGAGCAGAACCCTGTGCATTACAAGTAGACACAAGTGTGTCATACAAGAGCCCAACTGACAATCCTAAATTACTTATCACAATTTTTCACATACTCTTGGTCATTTAGCAAATGTTGTCCAATTGCAGAATCACATCTAATGTTCAGCACTGTGTTTTAAGTTCTGCAACCGCAAGATGGTTGAGTACAGTCAGTACCTTGCTTATTGCAGAGTTGAAAGAATATGCCGTTTGATACAATCCACCAGTCTTTCTGATGTATAGCCTACGTTCTTGTATTCACACCAAAACTGATATTTATATTCCATATTACTCATTTGTGTGATAGGTGGAACATCATCTTCGCTTGACAACAGCATCTTGTTAATGGTAAACATCACTCACTTGCTACCATAGTAGCAGCATGAAATAACTAGCTACATTTGTTCCTCAATCCTTTGAAAATCCTTATCCAAGATAGACTAGGCACGTTTCAAGACTAAAAATGATGGACTTGGGCCTTTTCAAATTTCCACAATTTGCAGTGAGAAATGATCTGATCAAGGTAGCCCTTGTTCCACAGATTGGCTTTGATCCCCCTTATTTCAGCATAAACCTTGTTTGGAATAACTGGCTTGGACCCTATTTGCAAGGTTGCCAATAAAGCCAATTTTATACAGCATGAAACTGTAGGAATCCCCATGTAATTTCCTAAAGTACTCCAGAGCACTGCCTCGTCATTAAACTCATTCATTAAAAGCAAAACAAAGCAGATTCTAGAAATCTGAATGAACAACAAAACAAAAGTGCTGGAGAAACTCAGTGGGTTTGGCAGCATCTGTGGAGAAAGAAACAGACTTAACATTTCAAATCCGATATGACCCTTCCATGTGAACTCATTCGTTATTTATTCTCATACCTCAACATCTCTGCTCCTTGCAACCTCCGTGAAATTTTCCTGCTGTTCCAATGTCTTGTCCACCTTGTCATCTGTCATACAAAAACATCTCAATCGTGCCTCGACTGGATCGAGTGATTTGGCAAAAACTACAAATTTGGCCATGTATGGTACACAGATAATTTCTCTGTACACTTGTGTGGCAAAGTTGACAGATTCTTGGATCTGCCGGCAATCTATGAGCCAGAACCTGCAACAAGCAAAACAAGAAACATTTTATTCAGTCTCAGCCAGACACATGTTATTCATTGGAATGGAGTACTGAATTGTTCAGGATTGAATACAGATGCTGATTACTTGAAGTTTTATGTAACAAAGTCCATTCTGAATTTTTCAATGAGCTAGCCTCAACAGGTTTCTTGAGATAAAGTCTTCTCGGTTCGCACAGTTTAAAGAAATGCTTCCTGACGTTACCTGATGATCAACTGAGCTTCAACTTTAAGCTTATGAGCTTTGGTTTGGGTTGGCCACGAAAGGTACAATGTTTTCTCAGCCAAACATTTTAATGATCATATATATCTTAATTATATTATCCCTTTAAATTTTTCTACTGAAGGGAATATAGGCCTGACCTTTGCAAACTGTCTTCAACATTTGACTCTGTTGGTACCATAATGATTGGTAAAACCACACTGCACCACCTTCAACACCAATCGCTCCTTCCTGAGGTGTGCCTACTTGAACTGACTGCAGTACTCCAGATATAATCTAACAAGAGCTTTAAAGAGCTGTAAAATAAATACCAGCTCCTTTCACTCCAACCCCTTTAATATAAGGAATATCAGTCAATTAGCTTTTTCATTCTTTTGTTTTAGATATCCATTTACTTTTAGCAATTTCTGTAGAAAAACTTCTAAATATCTCTGTTCATTCATAGTTCTCACCATCGAGAAAGTACCCAGTTTCTTTTCTAAATTCCAAAGCGGATGACCACATATTTCTCGCCCTGAACACTATTTACTATAGATTGGCCAGTGACTTGAGTTATTGCAATTAATCTTTGCAATTCTCTGCTCCTAAACACAGTATTTAGTATGCCAGCTAACTTGGTGGCATTGCAGTTCTGTTCTGCAGTCTAATGTACTTTGAGAAATCATGGGTACACTGTTTTAAAGCTCTCCAAAATCTTTACCTGGCTGACACATTTGTCGTGAAGGAAACACACTCATTGACAAATGATAAAGGCGTGGTTCCGGTTATATCTTCCCATTGGGCTGGCGTTGTTCCACCTAGGAAGCAAGACAAAGCCATAAACTATTATTCCAAAGTTGTAAATTACACCTTGTCACAGGAGACTCACATATAAAGTAGATTTCTCTCTCAGTGTATCTACATGTTGTCAGATTGGAGAAAGAAAATTCTCATGGAACAGACAACTTGTAATAAAGGTGGACCAACATGAAAAATTAGATTTCAGAAAGCCTGAATGCAAGAGACATTTGTGGTATTTATAAAACTGCTCACCAACTTGAACTATAATTAGAATTAACAGCACTTCTGTGCTAAATGTTTGAAAAAGTTAAGTACATGGGATAGAGTTTATGCTTTTCAATCAGAGATAGTAGGAACTGCAGATGCTGGAGAATCCGAGACAACAAGGTGCAGGGCTGGATGAACACAGCAGGCCAAGCAGCATCATAGGAGCAGAGAGGCTGACGTTTCGGGCCTAGACCCTTCATCATCT